TTCTTCGTTGGTCACAGAGTTCATGTGGCAGTTTAAACCTCTAGTTCCTTTCTCATGGTTTTTCTGAGCAATATACCATATGGTGGATGTTCGGAACTAAGAATCTGGTCTTGTTCGTGATGCTAATTACTCCGAGATTGCCCCCAACACTTTCAAGCAAAAACCGAAAAATCAATAAATCAATAGACCCAGTCGATGGATTTTAAAGCGGTTAATATATTGGTAGTGAGCATATCAACTTACTCCAGTGTACCAATTTGCAGTTAAGGCGAAAACTACAAAGTCAATAAATTAATGAAGTCAATCGATTTTTTTTCCGGACACAGTAGTCTGCGTTACCCCATAACTCATTTCAGGTAAGCGTTTTACGTTTTACAGTTACTTAACATTTCGAGTTTCCATCTATAGTAATGTCATTTTGAAAAGGGCAGTTCGGCTTATAAGTGCATTGTGAGAGAATGCAACGATTGCGCAGGTAGGTCGCTCTAGGTGAACTTTTTGTTACTGGTTGCTCGACTATAGGCTCAACGATCACAAAAATACTCTATGGTACGGTTACTTCTTGTCGTAAGTATTGAACAGGTAGTGCTATAATACGATAGACCTAAGGACACCATCCTGTAAAGTTAAGTTCAAAAATTAAAGGGAAATGCCGAAAGAAATGAAATTTGACGAAATTGAACATGAGGACGTTATCAGGTGTGCATATCGTAGACTATACAAGCATAATGATCTCACAAAAATCTGTTTTTCTTAATTTTTTTCTCTTATAGTTAAAACTTTTCAAGTTTATGTCAGTTGCTCTACAAATATTGTAGATTCTGTTGTTTTGTTAACGTTTAATTGTTGTTCATAGTCATTGCAGACACATTTTGAAATATTCCTTTTACTGTAACATTCTAAATTAAGTTCTTGAAATGAATTCTTCTATGTATGGGCATTTACCACAAAATCTGTGAATCTGAAGTAGGTTTACTTGATTGTCGCAATTATCGTTTTTTCGCATTTGCTCTTTGCTTCTCTCTCGTTTCCTAACTGGATATAAAAAGTGTTTGTTGTTACAGTGAAGTACCAGGTTACTTTTTTGGATGTGAAAAACATCTTTAGGTTAGAATACAGAGAACATCACTTGGAAAACGTTCAATAATCTATTACGTAACTGTTACTTATATTTTATTGATTTAACCTCAGATATTTATTAAAATTGCAATATCTAGCATGTTAAATTGGGAACTGTTCAACGAATGACTCCCATTGTTAGCGCTGATAGGAGAAGTTTGTGGTTGTGTTTCGACAATGTCGTTTTGTGTCCTTTATTTTTTTCAAAGTATAAGAATTATTACTGCATCTCATGTACTGCTATTATTTTAAAACGCGCTAATCATGGATAAAAGGCAAATTTACTTACTTTTTTGTTCATTCAACTGGACCAGAGAGTAGCTAGAAAGCTTGGAGAGCGATAATGGATGATCATTGACAATTTAACGAATGTTTGTGCACTGTTGATTCAAAAAAAAGCTAAACAATAATTTTGTTGAATTCGAAGACTTCATTTCGCTA